GAAATTTCAACCACCAACTAGTTAGATTCTTGACTAGTGGCCCGCCCGGTCTACACCGAAGCGAAGCTACGCTTCTATATGTTCTAAGTTTTTTTGTTCTTATAGTTTTAAGTTTTATTTTCATGAAATACAAATGAAAATGTTTTGGTGGGGGTGAGGGTATTCATTTGTTTTTAAAAGTTGCTTGTGAAATCGACAACGATAATACTAAAGAAAATTCTAAATTAATGCTGGATGAAATGCAACCTTTTGGCTACTATATCTATTGAAGCGCTGTAAAGGACAATAATTATTATTAACTACTGCAATGGTTCGCGCACTACTATTTAAATTATGATATCAAGTACGTATATTTTATCGATTAACATTATTTTTTGTGGATTTAGTTTATAAAGGTCAACATTATTATTTAACTATCTTTTTTATTGTTTATAATAACAAGGAGTCCCTATACTGGCCGTCTCATGGGCATGCCACACGGAGGGAAAGTATTGGTCCTTACATATGAAATTGGCGTTTAGTACGGGAGGAACATAAAGTCATTTTTATGTCATTCATATTTATTTAATCAAAATACTTTGATACATACATTTGGTACATACGTACCGTTGTTATCTATGCACTTTTGCCATCTCATAGGTAGTTCATTGAACCTTTAACTAAAAAAATATGGAGGCGAAAATCAATAAACTCTTTGAAGGCGTCTCTTTGGACTGCCGTATGGGAGCTGAATTTTTTTCCTTGTAATAAGTTGTCCAAATTCCGGGAAAAATGGTAATCTGTTGGAGCAAGATCCGGGGAGTACGGTGGATGTCGCAGACATTCCAATTGCAGCTCATTTAATTTAGTGGTTGTTTGTTGTGCAGTGTATGGTCTTGCGTTGTCGTGAAGCAGCAGTGGCCTAGAGCGATTGACCAATCTCAGTTGTTTAGCAGTTGTTTCTTCCTTCATGGTTTGCAGTTGCTGACAATAGATATCAGCCGTAATCTTTGGGCCAGATTTTAGAAAGCTGTAGTGAACGACACCGGCGCTAGTCCACCAAACAATCACAAGTAACTTTTTCTGACTAAATTTTCGTTTGGTTTGGTGACGAAATCAGGGTTTTTATGATATTAATAAAATCTAAAGCATATCTACAATGTAAACTTTAAAGATTTAATATGTCTGCTATAGACAACATATCCCGCAGTTTTTGTTTATCTGGTATAATCTAAACCCAGGTTTGAACGGTTGAAAAAAAACGACGAAGCGCTCCGAGAAACGGTAGGCAGCAGTGCCCTTGCGCTTTGCTTGGCTCGTCTAATCGTCTCGTCACGTCGGGGGCACTGCCGTGCCCCCTGTCTAACATAGATTTCAGTGAATAGAATTTCACATAATCCACCATTTATCTATAATTTTGGACTTTCATTAACTTTAGTCTTCTAATAACAAAAGCAATGTTGTATTAGCTAATTTTCAAAGGTATTTTATCTTTAAAATACACAAAAAATAGTGCATTTGTACCCACTTTGATATTTTAACAGTATCAAAGTGTAAAGTCTTACATCAAGGATTTGGGAAAGGAATGAGTAGTTTATCGAACTTCTAAAAGTACAGGTAACGTTTTTTCGTTACCTGTACTTCTAGAAGTAAGAACAAGATGAGACTTAGCCAGTCTAAATTAGATCTTAGAAAAACGTATTAGAAATGGAACATTGTGAGCTTGAATTAACATAGCACTAGTAAAGACCAATCAGATTAATAAATGTCTGAAGATTTGATAAGAAATTCGAAAAATCAACTGCCACATGGTTATCGACTGAGCTATATGTCGTTTTCCATGGGAGTAACTGTTTCTTAATAAACATTTACGCTTTATAAGCTTACATGTGCTAAAACATGTAAGAAACAAATTAATTACAATAACTTGACTGTATTTTAAAGAACAATATCTGTCTAGAAAGAGATTGAACCCTCAACTTATATGAAATTTAATAAAAAAGTTTTACGATTTATCATTTATTTGCTATGTATGTTTATGGTATTGGTCGTAATGCGCATAGGTCCAGTTTTTCATATTCTTTGATACAGTTTTTTGCGTCTCATAGAATTCCTAAGCGTACCTATACACTGAACTGTTATACCTACCGGCTAATAAATCATACTTTCTGTAACTAGTGCTAAGTTTGTTACGTAATCTTACTGTACTGATTTTTTTGGTCAATAAAATCTTATTATTTATTATTATTATTATTACCTAACTACTCCGTGAAATAGCGCTAAGTCCTAGTTGCAAGACGCAAGAGTCTTGCCGGATTAGTCTTGTTCTTGCTCAAGTCTTGCACGGTCAGTCTTGGTCTTGGTCTTGCTAAAAATACGCGGTCTTGTTCTTGGTCTTGGTCTTGCAAAAATGCAAGAACAAGACCAAGACTACAAGACCAAGACTAAATTTGGGCAACACTAGAAAAAACTATGAATTTGTGTTGATTACATTGCACCAAGAGCCATTATGTTCTCCCATTCCTCTGCCTTGACTAAATCCCCGTTGTTTAATACATAGTTAAATTTGACTATTAGTCAATGTCACGTCAAATACAAAGTAAAATATGTCAAATTAACTATAGTCATGTTTAACTATGTATCAAACAACGGGCCCTATATAAGGTAGTAAGTTGAAAAATAACAAAAGAACACGCAACGGGTTGAAAAAATTACAACCATTTGCAAACGTATCTTAGGGTCAGACAGACATTCGGGCCTTTAGATGGTTAGGGCGGACGTTTTGATGGGTCTATTCAGCTCCATTGGGGTTTGGCTTTGGGAGCTCGCACGTTATCTTTATCGTTATGTTAACATAGTCCAGTATAGGTGATTTGCACTACTCGTTGATTTGATTGGCAACATTATTGAAGAATGTTTTAATCGTTTTCATAGGTAAATCGGGTACTCTCGATTGGGTACGATCTACCAATTTCAGGAATTGCAAACAAACTTAACAATTATTTATTTGTAAATTTACAAGGTTCACTTACATTACTTATTTCATCACTCTCGAAACCAGATGACCGAATGCTCGATAGTTGTTCTATTTAAGAAAATACATAAGAGTAAATGAATACTGAAAAGTCACAGACTGGTAATTAGTATCTTCAATTATATCTCAGACCGATGATTCTGACCCTAAGTAACTAAGGCATACCAAAATAACGGTATCGGTTCGAGTTCATGTTTCAATACAATTTCTATAAGTATAGTTTATATCGAAACCCTTTCCTTCGAATTTAACTCTAGCAAGCTGTCGTCACAATATTGTTACCAAACAGTAATCTACAGAATCATTGCATTATAGCTATATAAGACAACATTTAGATTATATTGAATTTGATGCTTTGACGCCTATTCATATACCCCAAGATATGGTTCTACCTATATATTACATGTGCTTTACCTTTGATTTCAAAGGAATTTAATATGATGTGACGAAATATGTAGCTATGTATGGAAGAAAAAGTGATTCGAGCTCAAATTTACATGTCAACATTTTATATTGCGTTTTGTCTTTCTGAGGTGAAACACACTTTTCTGTGTCTACTGAAGCGTAGGTGTGTTCCCGTGTGAGTGCTCGTTAAACTCGGGAAGCTCAGATAGGCATTCAAAATATTGCAATTCTTACGTATACAATCTCCTTAGCCGTGTCGGTAACGAGTTGACGCCTGAAAACATCTTTATTTAGATGACTCTCTTGAAAATTGTGACATAATGCAATACTACAATTGAAATTTTCCGGCGCAATATTCACGTGATCTTTTATTGAAGTGAAAATAGCTGTGCCCATTCATGTACCTTTTATAAAAGGGTTTTATTGACCCTTATCCCAAGAAAAATGCTATATGCACAGTTACAAATACTTCATTACAATTTGCTTACCCAACCTTATTTTTAAGTTTGCAATTTAATTTGCTTGTCGACATTGACTGCACTCTACAAAAGCAATAAAAAAATAACTATCATTGCTCTGAACATCCCCAGTTGGAAAGTGTTTATTTTATATTAAACACTGAATATTTGTACTTCGGACCTGGTTAAAAAGACGAATCTGTAATTAATTGTAAGGGGTCTTTGATGTTAACAAATTTGCAGCGTCATACCTTTGGCTTTGTGATTTATTCAACCAACGCGTAACACAGCATTTCGGATCAAAGAACAATTGTGGGTGATATGCTTTCTATGTTACATAACTTTGACACCGGCTGTAGGTACAGTCAAGGCTATATTCGCAGTTATAACGACGCTTTGTAAACGCTTTAATTACTCAGTATTACAGCCTATATTCGTAGTACAGAGCAAATGTAACCATTGATGTAGCCCTCTCTATATCTACCGGCATTCCATCTCTTAATTGAACGTTTACTAAAACATTCATTGATTAAGATTCAAACATTCATTTTTCTTATAATTAACTTTGTATGCATTAAGTTCTGTTCTTGTTACGTAACTTATCACCATCAGCCAATTAATATCCAAAATGTTGAGTTTTGACTTACCACATCATATTGATATTCCTAATCAATTGAATAATACGTGAACTACTTTTTATACCAACTAAAATAAAGGTTTATTGTGAAATGTAGACAGGATGCAACCGTGACCAAAAATTTAACAGACACTCCTGGACCTGTCCCTTGAGAAACTCGAGTACATAATTTTTGTTTAGTCACTCATTATGCAGTTTCGCGAAAGCTTCCAAATCAATAAATTCGATTTGAAAGCTTCCCATAAGTCGAGTCCACTATCGAGTTCTCATAAATAACAACAATTTTTGGAGAAGTGTTTTAAATCATTGCGCTACTTAGTCCGCGATTTCGGAGAATACTATAGGAATCTAAATTTTTTAGGACGAAAATTATCCTTTGTCTCAAAGTCAAAACTTAATGTTTACCAATATTTTACAATAAAGATATTAAATTATGTATATTTTTCAGTCTGTAGTACAAAATTAAAATAGAATTTCCTTTTTTCCAGGGACATTTTCGGACCAATCAGTTGTATTCATTGGTGAGTAATTTAATCAATCGAATATATTTTATCCTTACTTACTTTATAAAATTTACTTTACACGAAGACTAAAGGTCCTAACCTACTAAGAAGACTCTGCCCCCACCCGGCAAGAATAAAATATCTTAAATATAGGTTTTAAGTATTGCTCTTAAGGTATACTACATTGTCAACATAAATTAGCAGACAGTTCGCTTTTACCAAGCTTACTGACTAATAGTAGGCTATTTTTGCATAATTACCAAGCAATCCGCTGACAGCTAGCTGTAGGCGCGTGGACAGCTGCAAGCAGTCGCCTTAGTTTAGGGCGGTGTTGGAAAATCAAATCAATCAAATACTTTATTTGTGATACACGGGTTAAAAAAAACCAGTTCATGGGATAAGAGTCTTGTAAGTGGGCTACGACCTTTAGGCACCTTCCTCACCGAATCTGTGAGTCTGTTTACCTTACCGGAAACCACTACTTGACCGGCTCGGTTTCAGAGCGGAATCGTTTGCTACGGTGTTGTTCGCGGGAGTGACGGAACGGGTGAGTTCAACAGTTCGAAAGCACTCGTTACGTAGAGAGCGTGCAGAATCTGTACAGATTCGGTGCAAAAATAAAAACGAAATTAGCCCGCACTGATCCGGTGTGTAAGGCACCTTATGTGAGTATTCATTCTTAAGATTTTGTTTTAACATTTTACTATCCGGCAAAATATAATCTCAGACAATCTAACGCTTCCAGCAATAAACAAAATATTAATTTTGTTCAATGGTGATTTATCTTAATTTACAAAGATAGCGATGCTTGTTGGGAAAAGAAAGCTGTCTAAGGCTGCAAGTAAAAATTATCTGTCTCTCTCTATGAACTTCAATGAATGAATGATGAAACATAATATAACGTTTTATGTATTTCCATTACGTTATATACTCTGAAATGGAAAATAAAATTTATCATTTTTTTACTAGTAAATTTTTATTTACACATATAAATCTAGTAAGCAGTTAGAAGCTTAAAAAAATGATAAATTTAAAAATCAAAAAACCCGACTGCTAAAATATTACTTCATATAAAAACTGAAAATAAAAAAACAAGTTCAGTAGTCTATAATTTTGTTGAGTAAGGAACAAAGCTACTTTAACAGTCGGGACCCATTAGATATTCAAGAATGGATAAAATTTTTCAATAATGGGTCCCGACTGTTAAAGCAGCTTTGTTCCTTACTTAACAAAATTATAATTTTAAATTATATCACAGTTTTATTATAAGTACTTCGTATAGGATTAGATACTGTGAGTAGCCCATTTTTTCTTTTTCGCCTAGGTTTTACTTATATACGTTTATAAACACCAAAATTCTTCTCCCACTATGTCCGCCGTGATAGCGCGTGTACTATGCAGTCTACTACTGCATACTTTTTCATAGTTGCAACTTTTTAAATATTTGTCGAAATTCCATAGTGTAAAAGGCAAACTTTATCGTCTTTAAATATCAAAAGCGATAAAAGTATTTATTTAGATGAAAAATATTTTGTAAATACCAAATGTGCATTTTGGAAATGGACATCAAATAATATTTTAGTTTTGATTCACTATTTTATCGGTAATGGCTTACACATTAAAAATAGATACATGGTGTCACGGACTTTTTTTTAGAACTATTTAAGGGATACATTTTCACTCTACATTAAATTCATGTAACTTTTATTGTTTTTGCAGTGCAGGCCAAAATGGCTCGCAGATGGGAGATATTTTCCGTCTTATGTGACACTTATTGTTATATTTTGGCCAATTCACTCAATAACTACATAAGTTATTATATATATGTTATTATCATATATGAGCTATATTACTGTTAAGTTTCATTAAAATCCATTCAGTATTTTTTAGGTGAAAGAGCAACAAAGATCCATACCAACGTAAGATTGAAATTAAAAGCGCAAGTGGTTAATATACAACTTTAAAGCGTTGTAGACCCTAAACAATCATATAAAATGAAAAATGGTGTTAGGAACCTAAACATGATTTTCCATTATCTAGATAGTGATACCCCATACGATATATTTTGTCAACTTATTTTTTTTTCTTCGTCACAATATTTCGCCTAGTTTTGCCCATATTGAATTTTGATTACTATTATATCTTTAGTAGCACTCCCATGATTGAGACGAATCGATTGATGTATGAATCATCAAAATCGGTCCAGGCGTTTGGTCTCTAGTGTGCCACAAAGGAACAAACATACATATCGCTCTTGCATTGCGCAGTCGGGTAAATAGAAATATAAGAACCTGAAATATGCGATTCAGATCATTGGGTCTACAGTAACCGAAACCAGGGACACCTACTCAATAAATGTAAACGAAAATCTGACGACATGTTATAATATAATCGTTTTATAAAACCTTTGCGATTAAAAAAAAATAATGTAGATGTTTTTTTTAAATCAAATTTCTGGCATTATAAACACACCATGATGTGAAGGGAAATAATTTCTTTTTAACAAGAGGGTCTGAGTGCGAAGCCCTAAGCAAATATAATGTAGGGCAGCGCGTCAAAGTTAATTAATAGTTGCAATCAACAACGACGTTATCCGCCGGCGATGTTTCAGCCCCAGGGAAATGTCACAATTACCCGCCACCGAGGGCCGAGGTAATTATTACACGACCGACTGTAATAAGATCATCGACCTAGTGGGAATACAAGTTCCGTACCGATAGAATGCTTTAATATTTTAACTACCACTGCCTCTTATAGAGAGTTTATCTATTTTTATTAGCAAATAATACCTTATTCTTTGAGTTTATTTTTCTCACGTTATATACACACGACGATATGAAGGGGAAAAAAATAAAAATCTTTTTAATAAGAGTTCAAGAGTGCGAAGCCCAGCGCGTCAAAAATTTGAACTTTGAACAGCAAATCTTCATACAAAACTTCTTGACATTTGACGCGTTTCGAGATCGAATTCACCTATTGGAATTCGATATTGGTTCGTGCTTGGGGTATAAAGGGATTTACACTAATCTCCAATTTTATTTTTTCAATTTTAAGGGACCCTTACCCTGACTAAGGGTGGTGTAATATGAGTTAGGGAGTAAGGGACCCGATCTAGGGCGATCGGCGCGGTGTAATAATTGCTACCCTAGCTAGGGGCCATGCCCATCCTTTCGATAGAGCCCTTAAAATTGGGAAGTGTAAATGCCGTTTTTACCCTTATCACGAACCAATATTTGACAGAACTGTACCCCTAATATATTATCGAATTCGAATAGTTTGCGAGTGCCAAATGTCAATTTTAAATTTTGTATGGAAACTTGAACAGCAGCGCCACAAAGTACGTAACGAGAACTAAAAATCAGTACACATTCGACAATTACATTTCGCACTCGCAAACTATTCGAATTCGATATTGGTTCGTGCTAAGGGTGGTACCCTTTATTCCCCAACGTCAAAGTTTCTATGGAAACTAAGTAGCGCCCCTACCGGACGTAAGAACAAACTAGCTTTTCTACAGAAACTTTGACATTGGCTATACGAATACGGATCTGTCAAAGTTCGTGCTTGGGGTACATATCTTTTAAGTAAAACAAACGAACTCACGAAGTCGCAGAAGATCAAATGTACTGCGTGAGAATTGGCGAGTGTACAGCCAAGTCCCATTTTGACTAGTTTGCGAACCATTCCATTGAATGGTTTTACTTCGTTTCGTTTCGTTTATCTTACCATTGAGTGGTCCTTCTACAATAAGTACCAATCTTTTGACGACCTCCGTGGCCGAGTGCTTTATACGCCAGGTGTCATGGTGTCGGCGACTCGAGAGGTCCCTCTCGAATCCCGGTGGGGGCAGATGTTTGTGTGATGAATACGAGCAATTGTACTCCAGTTTAAGATGTTTAATATGTATTTCTATATAAACATACTTATATTTGTACAATATATGTAATCTATCCGTTACCCTAGTATCCCATAACACAAGCCTTACAGTGCTTACTTTGGGGCTAGGCTAATTGGTGTGAGTGTTGGAAATATTTATTATTATTTATTTATTATTTATTAATAAGGAAAGTTATGTGCTAGAGAATACAATAACTAGTGACACATATCAACTATGAATTTCAAAAATCATTATGGGTAATGTACTATTATTTAAATAGTACTTTTTATTTTTAGTCAGCGTATATTATATGCAACGTACGGTTAAAAATAATGTATATGTTATAGTGCACGCCTAATAGTATAAAATACCATACTACAAATACTCCACGCAATGTAGAAATGTTTTTTAAGCATTTACCAAACTTGAAATCGAGCTTAGGTAAAACGATGAACTTACGCTGACACCTCTGCTTAAACACTCCTTCCCAAAGGCAGCAAAAATATCATTTTAATTGGCCGAAAATTTTAATTTCCCAATATTAACACACTTGATACTAAATTTCTCGAAATGTGAACGATCTCAGCTTTTATTCATTACCGTTATATAATATATCTCATATATGATGTTATAACAGACTCTGGGAGATCATCATAACGTAGCTACTCCGTACTGCTTGTGTAAACATTTGGAACGTATCGCTTTAGTCTTATTCGCCTGTTAGTAAACTTTGAAACAGACTTTGTGGAACTGCAATATAAGCCGGCTATTTAAATTTGCATACACAATATTTGTATATTATTAATAGGAGAGGATCTCAATCACATCTAGACTACAAAAAAAATTATATAATCATCAGCTTCCACCCGCTATGAGAATCCCACAAGAACTTATTTTACCACGATAAAAATATTTTGGTCAATAAAGTTTAAAATAAATAAATAAAAAGTATCATGAATGTCTCTTGTTAGGTAATACATAAACTATATATGTTTCAAATTTCATTAAAATCCTTTGTACCGTTTTTTGCGTGATTGAGTAAAAACATACAAACTTTCACATTTATAATATGAGTAGGATTAAAGGGAGCACCATGCCTTATCATCCTAACTAATATCATAAATGGGAAAGGAATCGTTTG